TCTCCATCACCCATGTAAATGTAGCATTTACTGACACTTTCTTTACCATGTTTTCAATAAATTTGATTATGTATATTGTTTTTGCTGATAAAGTATTAACCCTTCAAACTGATTTAACCAGAAGAATAGACCAGATCAAGGTTTTTAACTCTTGTCTGGAGGAATGACACACTGGAAACAGTGCAATGGATGATGGTGATTCTCTATTTTGAAAAGCAGATGTCGGTTTATGTCAAATGCGGTCGATCCAGGCAAAAAAACATCCAGTGGAAGTGCCTTGAATACATGGGATTAGACCAAGTATGGTCCATCTAGGTAAAAAACATCCAGGGAAAGTACCTTGGGGTATGTTGAACTATGCCAAGTGCAGTCTATTTGGGCAGAAAACATCTAGTGGAAGCACCTTACATAAGAAATTTTTGATCAACAAGTGTAGTCTGCCCAGGCAAAAACATCTAGGAAAAATGCCTTGGATCTTGAATATTATATTGTTGAAAGGTTCAGTTTTGTTTGTTATACAAAACCCACTCAAGAGGAAACCTCCTCAGTCCACCACTCCAGCGACTGGGAACTGGAAGTGGCAAGAACTCCCATGCTCCACTAGAAAAGAAGGGGGGCAATACGCACTGGAGATTCTGGAGAAATGACACACTGGAGACAGTGCAATGGGTGATGGTGATTCTCCATTTTGAAAAGCAGAAAGACCCCAATTGAAGGAATCATGGGTCATTAGGGATGGGCAGAAATCCCCATCTGCTTTACTCATGAAGTCCATGAGAGACAGCCTTTTATACATGAAACAGTGATAAAATTGATATATGTACACACACACGTACCACCAGATAAGTGGCCGGTTGTATTACAGAAACACCCCATCTCAACAGTGAGCATTATAGAAGTATACATATTTAGTGCTAATATAATATTAAGCACACCTGACCAGGCAACATCTGCCACCAGGTGAGATTCTGAAATATGAGGTATTTCAACTAAATAAGATAAAAATTAATAATATGTTGACTTACTCAGTCAAAGGCAAACAGACGTGCAGAATCACCACAGGAGGAAGACTATGCCCAACCGAGGAAGACGTAGCTAGGTCTTGCAGATAATGTGTGACAAATGTATTTGGAGTTATCCACACACCAGCCTAAATGATCTCCTCCAAAGGACAGCGGATTTGAACAATAAAAGACATAGTTAGATGACGAATTTGGTGCGAATAAACATTATGTAGACGATGACCTTCCATGGACAAGTCAGAATACGTATGAGTTGACAAACCCAACCAGTGAGCACAATAGGTGATAGATCATGGGAAATAGAGGAATTCCATAGCATAAATAGATAAGGAAATAGTAGAAAAGGCTAAACAACCTTCCTGGGTAGCCGATGTCTTGGGAAGGAAGGCTCAGTCCAGATAGAGGATATCATATGAGGAATGGTAAAGGATGCAGGAAACATTAATGGCATCAATATCAGAAGAACGACGACTACATGCCAGGAGGAGGAGGAAATAGGTCTTAAGGGAAAGATGTTACAAAGAACACATTGCAATGGGTTCAAAGGAAGAACCAAACAGGTCATGAAAGACCACATTGAGATCACAATCCAGCAGAACAAAGGGACATGGCAGATGGACCAGACAAAAGGAGCAGAAAAGGAGGGAAATAACAGGGGTGGAGAAAACTTTCCAGAAATGGGAGAAACAGAAGGTGTTTAACAGGGCAGCACTATAACTGTTAACAGTTGACATGGAGAAACCCTAATCAAACAACCAGGTGAAGAACTGGGACAGATGAGGAAAAGAAGGACAGGATGGTCAAGGGTCACAATGAATGAACCAAAGTCTGAAGAAAGACCAATGCTTCTGGTACACAGACAAGGAATAAGATCTAATGGTACGAGCAAGAAAGATATCACACAAGGTATGAGTCCCTGGGATGAGGCCAGGGACTGGACAAAAGCCACACGTGTAGATGGAGTTTGGTGATGGTAGGATGAAACATATCCAATCATGGTTGTCAGAGAAGCGACCGGGATAGA